TGTAGGACGCAGAAGTCAATTCATACCCCCTCCCCCCTCAAGGCCAGTCCAATAATTTCTCAGTGTCCAAGATTAGCTCCCGAGAAACAATGTGTACACATTTATGACATTACCCAAAACATTTAACCAACAGTAAATGGTAAAGTGTTTATAAACAGTAAATTAAATCTCAATTAAATATTTACTGATGGTGTCCCTACACTGGGCAGATAAAAGATAGGGCACAAGTTTTCCACCTCCATGGTACATATGGCATACACGTACATGTACCTGCCATGTGAATAAACTGAATGGCTCATCTTGCTTGCACGTATCATGCATTTTTAAGTATTTCTTCTCTGAGCCTGCTAGCCACTGCTTTTTCCCATTACTTGTGGTTTATTAACTGAGGGGAGCAAGAGCTATGACAAATCATCAAAGTCAACTACATGTACCTGTACAATTTTTTTTCGGTCTTTTCACGAAAAGGCAATTTTTTTGATATTACTAGAATAAGACTTTTCGAAAAAAATCGCATTTGAAGTTGGTCTCTCTTTCAAAGTTTCTTCAAACGCTTATTTCCCCAATATTTATATTTAGCATGCCTTTGACTTCCGTAATGCTACTGCATGAAAGAAGGGGTCTTAAATGACACAAACCTACCAAGTAATATTTATGGAAGTCAATTAAACTTGTTTAAGTTTGTAACAAACAAATTCACCTCTTCATGAAAACACTAAAATTCATGTCTATTCATGAAAATGCATCCTATTTTGCTATAGCACGTTCCAGGTGCAAAATTTTTACATTTGTTTACATTTCCAGAGTAAAATTTGCCCCTTCGTGAAAAGGGCAAAACGATTTGCCCATGAATTTGTCCTTTACTACTGAAGCTATGTCTATTGAAGAAAATTTCCCTCTTTGTGAAAATGCAAAATGCGGTTTAGTTGAAATTTGCCCCAGGGAGATCATCGTGATTTGGCTGATTTCAGGAGATTTTTGGAAAATTGCACCATGTTGTAGGCACTGCAATTTTGCCCCGAAAAAACATAAGATGGAAAGTCATGATTTGGGGCCAAAGTGTCTCTTTGTGAAAACGGTGCCAAAGTGTCCGTCAAATGCTATCAAATTCCAAAATGCCTCTTGGCACTGTGTCTTGTCTTGCATAAAGGATCATCAAAACAGTTACAGTAAGTAAATGAAAAGTAGACAGGGTGTGACAACCTTGGGAGAATAAACGAGAAAAACTTACCTCAACGCCATCAGCTCGGCTTCAGAGTAGCTGATACCAGCTAACCATTCGAGGGAAAATGAGCAAACAAAAATGGCATTAACAAATTACCCCCTCCTAAAATATAGTCCTCCCACCAGTACATACCTCAGTTTGCCGATCATTTGGGTCTAAAGCCCACATATGGGCGGTTTTTCAATAGACGACCAAACTAAGATGTTCCCCCTGTATTTAAAGACTTTCCTATTTTCACATGAAATTTTGACTCCCATTTTATTTCCTTGAGGCTCGAACCTGATAGAGTTTGTGCATGGCAGCCACCTTTCCTATAACTGCTTTTGTTAAGGAGGGATAGCACAAAAGGCCAACTCATGTGTATCTGTGTGGGAAAAAAGGCTTTTACACCAGGATGGCTGCCATGCACGAGGTCTGTACATGTACATTTATGAGGTCGAGTTTTCACTTTGCAGGGAAAACACAACCTCAGTGTGGGGTGGCGCACAAATACACGAGGCATTTTTAGCATGGCTAGAGGGGTGCTTCACCATGTGTTGGAATGGTGCAGTGAAGAAAATCTTAGGAAAATATCAATCATCAGCTTTGATTCGACGTTTAAACGGAAAAAGATTTAAGTTGTGAATGGGAGAGAGCATATAGAGGGATCCCAATACGATGCTTTTAGCGTCAATCTGCGCACTTCCGCATTTGAAAATGAGGCTGTATATGTCAGCTCCAGTTCTCAATACGATCAGACGATTGAAAGTAAGGAATCAAGACACAAAAGACATAAAGGTATGTTGAATTCAGACTGTTCGGGCTGCAAATTTTGTGGAAGAATCTTTCAGGATGACTCGACACGTAAAATCAGAAGAAAAAATAACGGCAATTTACTGCGAACTAACGTACCTGCGATGGTCATGTATCTGCATATGCAGTGGGCGTGGTTTAAACGGAAGTGGCATCACACTTGCGAACCGGATACTGCATGTACTGTGGGGACTCCACGGGCGCGCGACAAAGTTCAACACAGAGATGTGCAGACAGAGCAAATGTGAAATCCCTCCATGGTACATTACAAACTGACTGGGGCCTGAGATGGTCATCAACCTGGCCGACAGCATGGCTCGACCCATTATCATCCCAAAGCCCTTGATCAATTTTGAGGTAGTTATGCCCCCATCACACTTTCATTCCTTCATAAAAGTGTTCTTTATTGAAATCTTACTGGGGTGTGTGCGAGCAGTGCAAGTTATAACATCCATTCTTGCCACTTTTTCCCTGGGCTGTTTAAAAGCCGATGATTGGAAGAATCCAGTGAGTTTTCTTCTGTGAATCTGCAACAATTTGTTCAGTAGTTATTGGACAGCACAATACGCTTATTTTCCGTTAATAGTTTCCTGCCTTTGTTTTTTTTTTTTTTGTGGCGAATGCAATGGCCTCCGTATTATTAACAAAAGATGCTCCAAATGTACACACTTCAACCGTATCAAATTGCCGTGATTGTGCAGAGGCAGAAGCACAATAGAAGCTCGGGCCATTAACAGATAGACTGAGCTGGACCGAAACTGGCAGCATTGTGGGTGAAGTCAGAACCTGACATTCCATAGCATTGGTAGCATAGGGAAATGCTGGGTAAAGTTGTAACTTCCACTCACTTGGATTATCAGGATTGCAGAAGATCAACAAATGGTTCTTGGAGGCCCCACTCTCCAAAATTGTCTGGGAAATTAACAGAAAAAGAAAAGAAACAGACACGGAAAAAATTCCTCAGTTTAAAAAATGGACAGCAATGAAACCATTCTTGATCAAAATTTCCAGAAATAGAAATAAACAATTATGTTTCCATATATAAACACATTGACCTTATCAATTTATTAACATATGTAATTAATCAAAATCATAACAATTGATCGATCTGAGCATGTTTACAGACAAGGATGCAATTGTGGCACTCATTACTTTTTCCAGTATCCTTGGAGTGAGCTTCCAGCCATCCTCCATGCCAGAGACCACTTCCAGGGACTCTTTGCCAGCCAACACCGTCATGGGCTTGTAGGTGATCCAGCTTGGAGACAGGATCAGCACAGCTAGACAAAGGACATGAGGAGTAAATGACCGCTTCAAATGGGCACATTAAGCACGTTGTGCCAAACCAAACTACTCCCCAAAGTATGTTTGATGTTAAAAACAGTTACGAGCGATCATGCATGCAAAAGACGTCAACAGATTGGCAGTTGCTGTCGTTTGGAATGCCTCTGGAACACCCCGGATTTAGAAGCTTTTTTCATCAGCTGAGCTCAATGCAAATTAAAAGTTTGAACTTGAGAATCCCACAATCCCTTGCTGTTAAGGATACCTCAAATGGCACACAAAGATAAATATAGATGCTGCATGTGATGCCAATGTACAAATTTTCATCAAAACTCTGCTTAACTAATTCCTGAGGTCTGGTTTTAGAATCTTGTGCATTTGGCAACAAATACTTTTCACTCACCACTCACTCAAAAGTAGAGCTCTAAAAAACAACACCATTTCCAAATTTTAGTTTAGAACTGAAGCTGCTAGTAACCCACGCAAAGGTAACTAAAAACTAAACTAAAAATTAGTTAATGTTCTTATCTTAAAAATGTCCAAATGTGTACAGAAGGTATCCAATGGAGCAACATTGGGCAGAAGAGCTAATGGAGGCCTAAAACATCAGATTGACTTAAGCTAAATTTATGTAAAAGGTGGACAGCAGAAGACAGGCTCTGGATGACTGTAGCATGCACGCCAGACAGAGCTGGTCCCCTCAGTTTTGATCCTCTGATTTTTACTTGTTGTATAAATTGCAGGCAATTTACATCCAAAATAGACAGCCAAGGGTAATGTATGGAGAGTGATGAAAAATAAGGCACAGGGTTCGTGAAGGTCATGCTCACCACCATCGAAAGACTTGAATCAGGAGGTAAATGACCTGCTTGGTTCCTGGTCCGACGATGACCATGTTTGGGTCTAGGTGACCCAGACCGTCCAGCTGGGCGTGGAAATTGCAGATTTGGACGCGGAGTTCGAGCAGGCCTTTTAAAAGGCAGACAAAATCAATCACAAAAATTTCAACATGGCCACCAGATCTAGTTAAGTGTTTCTCAGTGCCTTTCTAAGAAATAAATGGAAATACACTTTTCTAAGGCCTTGCTGAAATTTTGAACATACATGTAAGTCACAAAGTGAATACGGTGCAGGCAAATGCAGCTACCAAGTTCATGTGCTTAGCAAATAAACTCTTTGCTTGGCAAAAGTTGGTTACCAGCCTGAAATGTCATGGTATTGCATTTTCCACGTAACTGGTTCCCAGTCAGTTTTTGTTTAGTACATAAATTTCAACTAATCCATTGTGCAGGAAAACATAAGCCCACTATACAGTTGTACATGTACATAGTGTAATCGTTGACTAGGCTGAATGTCTTTTCCCCTCTTCACTCTGGAAAATCCTCCAAAACCTCTTGCAGTCTTGAAGGATCTGGAGAGTTACTTGGTAAAAAGAGTCTTATAGGGAGTCAGGTTGGCATAGTGCCACTTTCCACTGTGATCCAAGGTTTGAATTTCCTGTACAGTACGTTCGTACTTAGGATCCGATTGAAACTGGTACACGACTCCGTGGGGGAGGGAGGGTCCCTGGAATAGTTACCTGGGGCTTTCCTTCTACCACTAAATATGAAAATATTTTCATTGGTACCCATGATCATCCCGTTGCTCATACCTGCGACAGGGAGATATGCATTTTCCCCAGCGCGCTCCGCAAGAACTCGGCGAGCGCCTTCCACGACGGGGAACGGTGACTGGCCAAAGCCAAAATGGTAAATGGACTTGCCCTCGGCAATCATCTGGCGGATCTGCTCGTTCAGGGCCATATTGGAGGCCTTCTGTGCCTTGCAGAGGCGGGGCAAGACATACGAGTGGGAGGAGTCAACGGTCAGGTGCTGGTTCAGCAAAGAGGAATCCATCTTGACTGGATACAGTTCCTAGTCCACAGAACACTCACAAAGTCTTTACTACCCATAAAAAGAACTGAGAATCAACAACAAAGACACATGCCACGCATTAAATATATTTTATCCAAGCAAATTCCACCTTATATTCATACGATTGTTCACATATTCAATAATTTTCATGTGTCAAAAACAGCATCCAGTTCTTCATATTAACACCATACTCCACTGTGCTTCAGAAATACTGAAGAAAAGTGAAAGACCAATGTGGTGGACACTTTGATTTTTCCAACTGTCTTTTGGTCGGCATCTTATGCAGTCAAAAAATGATGGTTGGAGGGCAAGGGCTTAGTCTTGGTATCATACGTGTATCACTAACCTGTATCCATGTAGGATAGGCTCAAGGAATCCCCTTGTGCCTCCATTGTACAAACTAAAGGAAAGAGTTTTATATTCGGACATCACTTCACATCCTGTGCACAAACCCTATGAGACCCATCAAGAAATTTGTAAGATTTCAATATTTTCACTAATACATGTACACTTTGGGACATTTTACCACTTTCTGATGGACAATAAACAACCAGCAGGAAAAAATTAGTGAGGACCATATATGAAACTCTTACCTAAATGAAAATAGGCCTAACCCCAAAACAGCCTCCAGGACCAAGGCACCAGTGTAGATCCGAGGCCTCTTATTCCAACCAAAAACTGAAAATTGCGGCCTAATTGAGTTATCTTATCTCCACGTCTAAGACAAAAGTGTAATCTGGCATAGCAGTGAACGTGGAGTTTATCTAACCTTGCCCATGTTATCTGCTGTCTTTTTACTAACATGCTTCTGTCTGCCGTTAATTTCCTACCCAATGCTATAGTGCACATACACAGCTGTACATTACGGTACTCAGTTATATAATCGCGGTATCTATATTATCATGGCATCAGAAATATTGAATTTTGTGTTACCAGTAAGTTCCCCATGGGCAATGGTAATCAATAACTTATAACCTCAGGATTAGTTTTATGAAATGAGTGAACAATCTGGTAAGGTTCTGTAAGCTTTGATGATGCTTAATAAAGGACGTAACTTTTCCAAACTATGTAAATTTTCCTTCACCGTGTCTGGCATTACTTCCCGTCTATTTCTTTAAAAGTAACTTCTAATGCCCCCTTACCTAATGAATATCCGTTGCTGGGTAATCATGTGTGAATTCCGAAATGTCTGGAGAAACATTTTATCTGCAAAGTGTCCATATTTTCCGGAGTCAAAATACGGGTTTCTGTACTGAAAATGTTTGCATGAATAAAGTGCACCCCCAATCTCCATTCCAATAGACTTGAATCAATCATAATTCCACCCTACCGGGCAATTAGCAAATAAATACTTCGGCATTATTGTCTAATTTTTTAGCTATTCTGAAGGATTTTGCAAAGGATAGTTAGAATTTTGAACATTAATTTTTTAATTTTAAATAAAATAGTTCAGGTCTAATGATATATTATAATTCTCTGGGAATCAGAACTTGGAAAGTGGACATTTTTAACGATTGTTTCAGACATCAGTAAAAGAACGAGTGCACCAAGAAAAAGAAATCAGTGATACCCGCATATTTATCATTCCTTTGGCAAACACTAATTAAGTAATAAGATGAATGTCACAGTTGTTGCTGCACTTGAGATTGGTGTAAAAAGTTCCAGTGAAAAAAGATTAAGTGATTCCTTGCCGGATTATTAAGTGTAAGGTGAGGCAGAGTAATTATTTGCATCTCGTTCTCTGGGTGAAGGTGCCATGTTCTGGAAAAATGGAGTCAATTATAGGTAAAATGGAACATTATTACTTTTATGAGGCTACATGTATTTTATTTCCTCTGAAAACAAAATCATTCTCTATATCCTTATTTATTCATAAACAAATTGCTTTAAAGTTACTCATAGAAACCATTTCTCGACAGGGGAAGCCGGTTAACGTCGCGGTTCTTTCCTTGCTTTGCACCAACGTGGCCCAGGTATCAAGTCCTGGCTTGGCCCAGGCTTTCAGTGCATTTTGGTTTGCGGTCCATACTCGCTCTCGCAGGTTTTCTCCGGGTACTCCAGTTCCCCCCTGCCTCTAAAACTGGACCTTCTTCCTAACTCTGTAATGTGATGCTGATTAATAAAGGTAGGCCTAGTTATTGGTGCAAATAGTCCGAGTAGCTGAAAGCACCATTAAAACAAAACAACATTTCTCGACACCTGTACTGTGGTAACAGACTCCACCTCTGTTTGCATACAGTGTGCACACAGCTATCGTAGAGGGAAATAAATTGAACCACAAGCAAAATTGCGTGAACATTGATGAAGCAAGTCGAAAAGTAAGATTTAGACAGCTGTGTTCATTACCATTACCATGGCATTAACACCTTCTCCCTGTTTTAAAGTCCACTTTCTTCTCAAACTAACATTTTGACCCTAAGGAACCAGTACTCAATCCCGATAGACCACAAACTTCTGAAAACCTCGAAGTCAGGAAGTAAAAAACTGTTGAAGCCTGAGCTTAAGTCGAGTATTGGAAAACAGCCTTGGATTCATAAAAAAATCTCCATCTACATGTAGGCTACATGTAGGTCAAGGAACCAGACTACGTTCGCTAATTTGTCATTGACATTGGGGCGGTCATGTACATATGCGTACATGTACGTACCGGTACGCTGCCGTTTAATCCCCAAATTTCTGTCAAAAACCAAAAGCCCTGTTCTTTTTTCTCTCTGATAATAGAGGGCATTACCATCAACTTGCTTAGATAAGTTGTTTCGATAAAGTGGAATTTGTTCCCTAATATTAAAGCCTAAGGAACAGGGTGCTAAATCATGATACACAACGGAAAATGATTCTGGAGTTAGAAAAACACAAACAAGTCTCTATTTCTACTACCTTGATTGAAATGCAGGCCTATGACAGTGATAGAAAAAGTTTCCGAACAGATCCAGAAACCCTATGCGTATCGACGAGTCTTACCAGTACCTTCTGGGCTCTGCAGTACTACACTACATATATTGTGCAGGTTTGTACAATCGAAGATAACTACTACGGGGATCTTTATGCGACATAGCAAAACAAAGCTTTTCTCAAAACACGGTAGGCCTACATTTATTTCGGCCTACCTTACATCGAAACTGTAACGACATATTGAGAAAACGCTAATATGACACAAGTCAAAAAAAGTAAAACTTAGCTCGGACATTTTTTAGGCCTTCAGAAAAGGAGCCAGAGAGGAAAAAGATATTTAATGCCGTTTACAGGTCCTCGTAGTGCGCCTGAGCTGAATAATGAAATTCCAGGTCAGCGTACGTAGACTTTCAGGGTACAAATTCAAGTGAGAATTTTTGACCAGCTCATGAGCATTAAAAGTGCCCCCCACATCATCTTTTGAAAAAGGAGATTGTTTGGCCCCCAAAATGGTGAGATTGTGTAAATCGTTGCCAGGATCAACTTTTTGGGTCTTTGAGCTTTCATATGAGAGCAGAAGGGCTAAAAACTACGGNTGTGTTTCAGAAATCTCAGGGATGTTGGCATGCTATTGGGTCCTGAACGGTGCTGATTTTACTGTTTTCAATGGGGCTTGAATTTGTGGACTGGACCCGTCATGCTCCTTTGCTACGCACATCCGCATGAAACATAGTTTCATTCTATTGAGACAACCTCAATAAATCAAAGAACAAACACAATCAATTTTGATCTTGGAATTTACTAAAAGCATGGGAGTGTGGCCATGTTTCAGGGGTCGAGTACCAAGACATAGACTTTTCAGAAAGAAATGGAACCCCGATAAATCATATACATAAAAAATATAAATAAACAAATTTAAAGTATCAACAGAAAATCTTTCGATACATGCACAATCTCGACAAATCCCACCTTGGGATTCCAGCCCTTATGGCTCTTCGGATTCTCTGTCCGTGTCATTCAGCCGAAAGTACTGTCTGGTTTTTTTTTTTGTTGTTGTTTTTTTTTACTGCAAGAAATATTAACAAACCTCATTTGGGATGACCAAAAATGAACCCCTGTAAATCCACTGAAAACTGGAGAACTTTTTTTACAGCCAACATAACTCAAATATTCCAACTAATCCCACCTTGGGATTTTAGCCAAACTCTCTTCGGCTCATCCGTCATCTGTTGAAAATACCAATGCGTTTTTATAAATCGGGTTTCATACTTCCAAACTGCAATATGGGCTGCGGTTTGGCTGTCAGTGTACACTTTAATTTTTGAATTAGAAATTATGGGCAAGAAAGAAGCAATCGCAAAAGCAAAAGTGTTCAACTCTCGCCACGTAGAACTCATCCTAGCTTCTTCAACATTCCAGTTTTTGTGAGCGGTGTGAACATCGTTGCGTATTATTTTCCCCGAACCAACAGCACTAGCATCACAAAATACTATTTTGTTTACTTTGCCAAATGTGAATATGTTTCTTACATTTTTGGGGAGACATTATTCTCCCCAAATGTCAACTCAGCGACGCAATTTTCATCCAGATTAGGCCCTAATCAATTGGTCTTCGTGGGAGGCTCCAGCTATTGTAAACTGGCAGTTACGGATGGTTAACCTAGATAGATTACCTACCACTGGACCCAACGATATAACTTGTCCCACGAAAGAATGTAGTTATCTTATTGTGATTATGTCCGGTCCCTTAATCTCTGCTATTGTGTTGAGAATTTTATCTATCCTTCTCTGAAGGACCTACAAAGTTCCCGAGGATGTGTCCCAACTCCCAAGTCATACCCAGCCACTCAATAGGCCTAATACTAGTGGGATTCCAATGGCTTTTACCAATTATATACAAAGCCAGCTCTAATTAGATAAGTTTTTACATGACAAGAAATATCTTTAGCTACACTTAGATTCAGTGCACAGTCACTTGATGTCTAAGGAATAACACAAAACCATCATCCAAATAAAATGCGATAAGGATACCAGCAGCACGCCAATGAGTGACGAGAGGCTTCACCATCTTAGTCAATATAGCAAAGGAGCTGATGAAAGACCAATGGCAACACTGTAAATTCAAAATACCTTCTAACATCATTGATAACCCAGGAGAAACCTAAATATTTCTGGTAATCGGCACAAATACCAATGTGATGGTATCCAGACTTTAAATCAAAAGAAAACATGAGCATTTTTGGACAAGAATTGAAGACTTATTTTCCAGTCGTCCAGTTTAAATGAAATCTTCGGTATAAATTCATTTATTTTACTGAGGTCTAGAATAAGCCTGGTTTGCTGGAAGGTTGATATGCAACGGACAATGGATTAACCACGAAAGAAAGAACAGTTTTCTCAACGATCCTACCAGAGTTTAACAATTCCAAAACAGATTCCACCACAAAGGCATCTTGAAAAATAGAGGATTTATTATTATTAGAAAATAAAGAAGGGGGTGGAGTGATAAACGGGATTCGATATCCTTGTTCAATAACCGACATTATCATTGAAGAGGCACCTATCTTGCGCCAAAAACTGGAATGCTCATGCAACCTTCCTTTAACATTAATATTATCTGAGGGGATATCCGCAGCACAACATGATTCATAATCACAATTTACCTCCAATACATCGCTGAACTTGCCATACAAGTTAGACACCTTAGGGCAGGTGAAATCATGTAGAAGAGGGCTTGCTATTGGCGATTGCTGACTTGGTTGTATATCCCGAGACGGGTCCCTCAGTTGCAGGACCGAAGGGACAGACAGGTCGTTGAATGTTTGGGGCTTGCCACGGGATGCCTCTGGTAGTATATCCAAGCGGGAGTGCCGACTGTGCTTCGGGTGTAACTCGGTGCGACATTGCAGTGTTAAAGGCGAAGGGGCAGTCACGGAACCAATGTCCTTGCATCTTGCAGTTAAAACAGCCATCATTTGACACGCCTGGAATATAAACAATCAAACGAACCAAGAGCAATAGAAAGCTAGAAAGTGTGGTCGATATTCCACGTGAAGCGTACTAGGCCTGAAAGTGAAAAGCCTTATAAAAGCACGCCTTATAAGTAGTATACGCTTGGAATCACAACAATGGAAATAGTTTCATTGAATCAAGCACACAGGAGTGGAATGAGCCAATACCACATCATTCCATCTGAAGGTGATATTCACCTTTAGGCCGCTCAAACAAACAAAACTAAATGTCTACACTCGTCACGCTAACAGGAAACTTCGGCTCCTTGTGAGAGCCGAATCATGCCACTGAAATAAAATTTTTAATAGGAACCGGAATTCATTCCTTATTTCGAATCACTTTTTTTCATGGTTTTACCAAATTTACCCATTTGCTTACGCAAAAATACTAATTCTCTGTGACTGCGTTTGCGGCCGTTGGTTATTGCATGGAGGTATAAAACACATTGGAACGTGCGTGATTTCTAGCCGCAGCCACAGCGAGTGGACAACACGTCATGTTCGTGGCTGTGTGCAACTTGCAGGTTTTGAATGCAACTGTAACTTTTGATAAGAGTAATTTCGTGCTCAAACCAAACATGCTTGCTAAACTCGTCCTGGGTATGACGTTAAACTGCATCCGGTGGCAAGGCTCCAGTTCGGGAGATCTGAAGCTCTGGGGAGTGTGGAGCCACCCCTTAATTGCCATTGCTCCCGGGTCTGCTCTGGCCCGGAGCGAAAGCACCTGTACGTGCCTCATCTATGGGTCATATAGAATCCAGTCCATGCTGGATTAAAGGTAGATTTGGGGACGTCACTCCAGTCTTCTGGTAGACAAAGCAGGGGTTGCTACATAATATAGCACAATGGTTTGGACAGCAGGACGGCAAAATGTGTGGCGCACTATAAGGGCAGAGTTGTGACTTGTAGGCCTATAATCTTCTCGCTGGCCTGCCACACCTGGAAACAACCAGGTAACTAAATGCACCCTTGGGGTTGAGGGTGGGAAGGTAGCAACTTTGAAGTCGTGGAAGCCAGTAGGCTCGTCGGATAGAGATGCTTCCGACTATTTCTCCCCACTCCAATGTTAATCCATCACGGACGCACCAAAAGAATCGTTCCGTTGCGACTGCTCTAGGTAGTATGTGCGAGGTCTAAGGACCAATGGTGCTCTGAGTCATAGAGCCAAATGTCTGCATGCTGATATGATTCTTAGATATATAATTACTTGACGTCACGGTACGTAGAGGTGTCCTTTAGCTGGTTATCAGCTGCCCGTGGTGCGGAAAGATTGTGCTGATGGATGTATAGCAGCCTGGGTCAAATGTGGCCTCCAAGTCCAACGCCATGAAGATCTGGAACCACCTAACCTCGAGGTCAGGTGGATCACAATACGCACCTCCTCTATGATCCTAGTACTGGGATTGTTCTATCGGCCCGGGTCAGCTTTAGGATCTGACACTCGCTTTAATAACAGCCTCCCACCTTGCAAAAGAGTCATATTGGACACCTAAGCAAGACACACCATACTTATAGGGGACTTCAATGTCCATCACAAATAGTGGCTTAATAGCAGCTCGCATCGCCAACTGATCCTGTTGGCATTGCTTGTCTTAACTTCAGTCTTGCCAGTAATGGTCTTGAGCAACTTGTGCAGGAACCCGATCGTTGTGGCAACATCTTGGACTTGGTTCTAACTGATGTTGCCACTTACACAGATGTGCAGAAATGTTATGAAAATGCAGTAAGAGACCCTTCCCCTCAGCGAATTGAGAGTCTCTAGGCTTCTAGAAAAACCTTGCTCAGTTGGAATAAATGCTCGCCAGCAGCACTTCATTAGGACCCATGAACGCCTCACAATAAAGAAACAAGTCAGAAGGACTGGTGGTGGGTTGTGAATCGTCCCAAAGGTAGTACAGCTCCCTCAACAATCCCTACAGTGACACACGAAGGAAAAACATTTAGTACAGCAGAAGCGAAGTCAGAAGTCCATATTTTGCTGACAGGAGTACCATAGAGTATGCCCAGGATGAAGCTCCAACTTCTCCATCACTCACTGACTACAAGCTCAGTTCAATCAGGATGAGGCTAAGGGACGTGAAAAGACTCCTGACATGTCTTGATTCTAAGAAAGCAAATGGTCCTGATGGTATCAGCAATCGAATTTTTAAAGAATGTGCGGAGTCAGTTTGGCTGTCCCACTGTTAAAGTTGTTCTTCTGAGGGAAAACTTCAATTGCAGAAGGAAATTCTGTAATTGAAAGGAAAGAGACAGTATGGCCGAAAACTCGAGAGCAAATTCACAAACAGCAATCTTTACGCTGCATGGGATGCCATGAAAGACATCACAGGGTACCCACAACAGACCAAGTTCAACGTGCCAGCTGGTGATCCGAGATGATTTGAACCGGTTTTACAGGCGCTTTGATCAAGATCAACAAATTGACTCATGATCAAAATGTGAGCGGACCTGATGTCTCGTTGAACGACTTAAAAATAAACTGCAACTCTCAGCTACTGAAGTTGAGAAATCCTTCAGGGTCATTAGTAAAAGCCAAACAAATCTGCTGGACCTGGTGGAATCTCGAGGAAGATCTTTTATAAGGAGTTACAGCAAGAGCTGTTCCAGTGGTCCCTAGACTGCCACACGGTTCCTAGTTTATGGAAATCATCTACAGTGTATAATTTTTCCAGTTCCTAAGAAACGCAATCCAATTGTTCTTAACGACTACAGACCAGTAGCTCCAACAGCTATTGTGATGAAATGTTTTGCAAAAATCACCAGAGACATCTTGACTGTGGAAACTGTGCATTTCGCGGATCCTTTTCAGATTGTATAATTATATAGGGCCAACCGGGGTGTGGTGGATGCCGTGATTACATTACTACATAATATTTATGATCATCTTGACAAACCAAGAAGCGCTGGTGCCTCCGGGTGTGTACTTTCGCCTTTGCTGTTCTCTTTGCACACAATTGATTTTTGTCTTGACAGAAGTTTTTGTGTCTTAACAAAATATGCCGATGGCATTACCTTATCTTGGTTGATTACTGATAATTGTGAGGGTGAATACAGAAATGGAAACAATAAATTTGTTGAATAGTGTCACCGAAATCATCTCAATTTAAATGTGCAATAAACCAAAGAAATGGATTTTTATTTCCGGATGAAAAATAAACAGTATTGTACCTGTCGAGAAAAAAATGGAAATGGTCCACAAGTTTGGATACTTAGGGACGCTTATGATGATAAGCTAAATTGGAATGCTAATGCAACTAGAATCTATAAGCAATCAAACCAAAGGCTGTATTTTCTGAGGAAGTTACAACATTTTAATTAACGTCAGTAATCAGATTTTAAAACTTTTTATCAGAGCACTGTTCAGTATTTTTTGTTGTTGTACAATTCCCTCGAGTCGTGCAATCGCACAAAACTGCAATGTACTGATGAACAAGCACGGGGGATTATTAGTGCTGAATAGGCAGCAGTCATTGTGTCGTGTTGTTCCCAATTTCCAAACGCAGAGTGAATCAGCCTGCATCAACCTTACCCCTTGTGTATATTAATTTCAACGGTGTAGCCACGGTTCTCACTGCGGGGGCGTGTCTCAGTGCTTGCTTATATCGTCTGTGTTTTCCAAATTTTCGGGGGGGGGGCGTTGGCCCGCAGCCCCCCCCCCACACTTTCCTGTGTACATTATAGTAAATAAGACTTTTTTATACATTTGGTATGGGCTTTCGCCCACCAACAACGCCGATCAAATTCAGTAGTATAATTTTCATCGCCCCGTGGCAACGGCTCCATGCAGAAGTCGCGAGAACTGTTTGTGCACTTGTCAAAAGAAGATACCACGCAAAGAAAGCACAAAAGATGGCGAATTTTAACTCTCTCTTCAGTTTTTATTCTCTTCAATTTTCATTACTAATCCTTCCAATGTTAAATGTGTGTCACCAACAAGCGCTAAGCTAAATTAACTTAAGAGCGAAGTTGAATTCAACGCTTTAATTTTTCAGATTGTGATTATATTATTACTCAATTAGATGTTACATCAAATATGCGCTACGATGGATCAAATTAACAGCAAGGTTGAATTTCACCCTTCTTTTCCCAAGAAGAACGAGCGATGTAGCAAGGAAGTGATAAACACAATCTGTAGATTTACGGTGTCCAATCTAATTTGTATACAACTGTCAAATGAGTTACTGGAATGGGCGGATAAAAAGGATCGATTGAGGCAAAGGTGGAATCTTTCGCTGTTTTATTGTGATTTTTAAAAAAAAAAAATTTACCGGGAGAAAAATGGGAGAGGGTGTAATGTCAACTAACAACCCCCCCCCAATTCTATCATATGGCATTTTTGGACCGGTAATTTCTACATCATGTGGTCAACTGTGTGATCTCCGAACGTTAAGACGGCCGAGTCCCGATCGGCAAATTGGCTGCAATGCGCACGCACACCTGGGAAGGGCTGTTTTTTGGCCGCTTGAAAATGAAACCACGGTGTTACGAACTTACTAAACAACCCACTAAAATCCCTGTAAATATGTTTAATACTTGTGTCTAATATGCCTCTGCCGTTAGGTATCTATGAACAGTAGAAACACTGACGTTTGTTGCAGATTTAAAGAAAGGCACCAATCTTGCAATTAAAACGTAAAACATAAAACAGCCCCGCTTCCTCTTTTTTGAAAAAAACAAACAAAAAACGCACGCTTCAATACACTTCTTTATCTTTTTTTTGCTTGGCCTAATTGGTTATGACAGACTGGTGAACTAAAAGGAAAAAAAACCGCAGGGAAGCATTTATTAAGTGGCATATGTGACTGAACATCATTTCTTACAACTCTTATTATTTAATGAAGAAGCCAAAAGTAATAAATGAGCTACTATTGATAGTCACTCACAATAGATCAAAAACGAGGCAAGAATTTAATATACTGTACAAATAAAAAAACACCAATAATTTTCTACATAACTCTACAAAAACCCCTTTCAGAGATCTTTCTAAATTTATAGATACTTGAATATGCAGATGAATCTGGACACCTTTGGATAGAAGGGATAAGATTATAAAACATATTTACATATAATATTAACATCATTTGGTACAGAATGTACAATTTTACATCATTTGGAATACTTGTATTTACTCGAGAGAAGACACTTTATAAGATGTTGTTTTAAAAACACTGTGGATTTTCACCGCATAGGGGAAGTATGACCGGCACAGTTTCCATCCACTCCATGTCCTGGTTGTTAACCTATACTGATGACAACTTTGGACACCTTGAAAGCAACAACTCAAAGCACTGCTGATTGGGGATGTGCCTTCCAACAAAGTAGTCAGTGCCCCCTCCAGGTCCCCTCCATTCCCAAAACACGACTTTGCCCCCCCCCCAATTCATAATCTGTCATTTGTATTCTCCCACCGACAGTCCACACATTTGTTTCACATCTGTAGTGTGGACATTCATCCGTTCACATGTGGTTAAGAAACCTCTCAGAGAATGCTCTTTTATTCTCCCGCTATGATAACTCTTTCAGGCTGGATTTTTGATGATGCCTCTGGAGGTGTTGGGAGGGGGCGGGAACGGTGTGTGGACAAACGTGTGCAAGTCCACACAACATGTTCTAACCCTACATTACATGAGCTTATGCAGACACACTACCGGTATGTATACGATGATTGCACATGAAAACACACACACTCCATGATTTACATACTAAGTGTGGACATTCCTTTGTTAAGGAAACTTGAGGAAAACAGATGCTTTTTTTTCTCCAACTTGAATTACTCCTTCGAGCTGGATTTCTGATGATTTCCTGGACTGTTCCTCTTAATATTGCCCTGATAACCTTGACCCCAAAATGCCTCTGAAACAGTTTTTCAGAGAGGGGAAAACATTGTGTGGACATGTGTGAGTCCACACGATGTCATCGCACTCTACATCGTGTGGACTTCTTCTGTGCAGAGGTCCACACTACGTATACCACATCTGCACACCACTTTTGGTTGTACCTAAGACACTATCACCACTTAGGCATAAAGTGAATGCAACGCCTAGGGTCTGGTTAATCTTTTCCCCACAACTCAGAGAAAAACAGCCGAGTGGATTTTTTAAAATAATCCATTGGTGCATTTTCACTGACAGTCAGCTTATTAAAGTCCTTGCATTACAAAACTACACAGCCCTGTTTAGGAGAAATCTGTGAATATGGAGTGAAATTTCCAATTTAGAGACCAAACTGAAGTGTTCGTTCCTGGCCTCCTTTTTCATTTTAGCCTTTCCCTCCGCATCCTCAAAGTGGCAAAAAAGACGAGGAAAAACATGTGCATATTAGAAAACAAAAAGTCATCCAACCTCAGACTGTGGTGACTTGTGCACCCCCCCCCCGATGCTGAGTTCCCCAACTCCGTCCCCCACCCCATGTGCCCCACTTTCAAAATCTCGCCCCACGTACCGCTGGTCATGAGAGCTCCCCTGTGTGGGATGCACCACATGCCTGCCCACGGCAAAAGAAGGTCTCTGTGTATAGGTGTTGGGCATAGAAACGGCTTGGGAGTTCAAGAGTGCATGTACGTGTACATCTACTCCCTCTGTGCTGGTATTTTCGGGTAGAAACGTGACAACTGGCAATATACTGTTGATTTATTACAATGGTGACGTCATGCCTGCATCGATGTCTCACATTCTTTCTGCCCATGCCACTCGCGTTCAGTCCCCTCAAGTTAAACACGAGAGATGAATTGAAACAAGTATGCGTCACCCTCAACGCACGCGCAGCAAACATGCAGGCTGTTTAATGCTGGATTAATTCTAGAATTACTGCCACAGCAATGTCGGGGTCAAACTCTGGCCCGAAGAGCCGCCCCACTTTGGAGACTCCCAGTGCCTGCTTGCTGGATCCTGACGGTGCTGTACTGAACGGGTTTCTCCTTCCCCCCGCAATAAAGAACAACACCCGGTTTCAGCAGATGTTCATCTTGCTAATCTCCGACGTGCTCTTCTTCCGCTTGCGCTGCTCGTTCAGCTCGTTCCACTTCTTCCGATTGGCGCGGACGCCCTCCAGCATGGTTGTGAACATGGGGGAGACTTTCACCAGGGACTGTGAGACAATGTCGAGACGAGAGGCATGAGGGGTACTCAGGATATTGGGGGGAAGGGGGGTAGTGCTTTCTAATTGGAAAGGTGAATCTAAAGCTGTGTATTGAATCCACACTTGCTTGATTTATGACAAGTCCTTCAACCATACTGAAATTTAACGTCTTGAAAACTATTCAGAGAAAATTAAGGGGCATTCACGGTGATAATTTTGCCCAGCACCCAGGGAAATTTTGTCCATCTAATCTACAGAGCTAAGCTTAGGATGGGGCTCATAAATGAATGTTATATCACATTGTGGATACCACGTTTCTAGTGGTCTTGAATAGTCACGGGTCAGTGCTACAGTCAAGACCACCACAGGACCAGACTCAAAACCAGTCACAAGACCAGTCGTAAATAGAACAATGAAGAATATGCTGTTGTTGCACTCATTTGAACAGTTAAAAGACTTGAATTCAGACTGGAGGTTTTGTGTCGGTCTCCCGAGGGTTTTGTGGGGCCCTCAAATGGTCTTACGGGGTCTCGACTGCAACACTGACTCATATCTGGCAACAATAAAAAAACCAAATGCTCGGTGAAGCTCTTACTTCATAGAGTGGCAAGCATACACCATCGATGAAGCCCAGTTGCATTTGTGGTAACTCGTCCTTCCGATTTCGGTCGAACATGGTCTGCCGCACAAATGACAACAGAAGACAGTGAGACCAACGATGGGAATTTAACTCCAAAACGGTTGTCAGCCAGTTAAAGTAGAATACAGATCAGTGGGATGAGTATGGGAATTGTGGGGACGCAAGGCAAAGGGATATATTTTCTGAAAGGCTAACTCGATATTCAACATCTTATTAACCACCCTTCTCATCACACACATCAGTGATTTCATGAGTGGGTACATTTCAAGGGGTACATGGTCAAATAAGGGTGCGACTGAACTGTCAGGCACGGCTTAAATGGTTCACGTGTCTACAAGAATCAATTTATGGCAGTTAATAAGACACGACCGAGGATGCTGTCAGTTACCGTGGGTTCAATCTTCAATTCATTCCTCTCCTTGTCACCCTGGTCAAAGAACTCACTCGTCACCAACTCGGCAATCTGCAACCAGTCGAGAGGAGAAGACACACATTGAGCATGCCCTGAAGGGATCTACGGCCAATCTCAACAAAATTCAGCTCTTTTTTTTTCACTTTGGCGATTGGGTGTATTTTGAGTAGCTCAGCTGGCTGAGTGACACCTGTTAGCCCAAGCCACCGAATCCGATCTTGACCTCATTCCGGTACATGGGGCTGATGAGAGTCAGCTACATGTACCAGAGACCCTGCTCATAAGCAGGGTCAGTTGTGGAATTAAATAACAATCCTGTGCAGTCTCATAAGCGTAATAAGTTTGGAAACAAGCTTGCTCTTGGAGGGCAACTGATTTGCTCGAAACTGCACATTTGCTTCGTTCTTACTCAAGAGTTAAGTTATTTTAATTTAATATTTGGCAGTGGGATTTATTATTTGGCATCTCTAATAGCTGCCAGAGATGTCGACATGTGAATACTTTTAAAAACAATCTTTTGTTTTTGTACCGAAGGCTGATCATAATTTGTCAGCCACATATCCCTTCTAGATCTAGATCTAGAAGCGTCCTTACAAGTTACTTTTGATATTTGCCAGTGACCTTTTTTTGTAGGGGGATTTTATTAGACCACTTGATACATCTTTGATGTCAGTCACTTGCTCCGAGTGACCAACTGGAATGTACCATACCCAGGGTTTCTGGCTCTGGTACCAAAGTCACACGTCTTAAAAGGTGTAGACAAATGGAAAGCTCCAAACAATATATACCGGTTACTTCGGTCGCGATGTCTCAGTCTCAATTGCAGGGACATAAAATTTGTACCGTGGGATATCTGTTGATACACCCCCCCCTGATTATTTCTCACCTTGTGCTGTATCCGCCATGGCTTGGTACTGGCAGCAACATCGCAGGCTGTCATCAACATTCCCCTGCACACAGTGAATACAAGGTACCAAAACGGGCTGATGAGTTACGACCATGGTAAAGGCCATTTGCATCTCTGCTCGCTGGATTTGCGTGAAAATACCACAGAAAAGAGGGCTTGCATGGCTGCCACCTTGCAGGCTGGTGCTTTTGCTCCACACGGTGTGCACAAAGACGGTTTCCCTGTGGAACAAAAGAACTGCCCTGCAAGATGGCTACCATGCAAAGCCTCTATTGACCCCATCAACCACTCATTGTCAGTTTACTGCTGATCAGTGATCCTGAAAAATCCTGGCAATGCCCATGCTAACCCTCTTCCCCACATGTCCTTCAAAATGCGCCTGAGATTTCTGCAGGACCGGGGCTAGGGGAAGCCTGGACACTGTGACTCTAACCTGAAGGCTGACTGCACAGAGGTACACAGAATGAGACACCAGTGTCCCCAAATGTGCAAGATATTACAGCATACAGAGGGAGATTTGTTATTTGCCTGCGGAGTTAATGCCAGACCACTTTCCGTCAAGAACAACTGCTCCATGTAAAAAGGGGCATATCAAGATAGAAAAATTCGTGATTTTGTTCCTCATCAGGAATTAAACAAATTAGTCTAAGAGATTATAGCAAGTATATTGATACTTAAACGGACCAAACAATTGCAAATTTCCACAAAGGAAGGGTTTAATACCTGCTACTTTGCAATTAACATGAATTCCTTTTTTTTGAGGGGAAAAACAATCTATACCAGGAAATATCTGGATATATCTAGAATGTGAAAGTATTCAGTGCGGCAGCTTGCCGATCCTCTAGAGGGCTTGCTTTTACTAGTACCTGAGTAATTCCTTCTGCTGTGGAGTCCGCCAGTTCTGTCGGCCACATCGCACCAAGTCAAAGAATTGGCTTCTCACCCTGAAAGGCAGGACAGGAGGACTGACTACATCAGAACTGTGTTGGCATCTCTACAGGTCCCTTGCAGGAAAAGTGGCTACAAGTTATCATCAGGCATGTGCTGTTTCATGCACGACTCATGACACGGTCGTAGCCATTTGGAAGGGGACTTGGGCCGAAAGCCTTGACAGAATCTAGCGCAGCATTTTTGTAACCGTTGTCACAACACTTCTCGTGCCTATATCGGTGCTTAAAGGATTTCCCATGATCCTTTCAATTTCACCTACGTTGTGTGCCACACGTTCTTTTTCCATCTGGATGTTGTGTTGAGAATTAAGGGGAAAGTGCATTCAGGAGTTCTTTCCAGACTCAGCTGGCGGTACAATTGAAAAGACATCGCCGATCCGATGTCAGTTAGCCCTCGCATGTGTCACATAATGTTTGAGGTGCTGATCCACTTTGTGTACACTGTTGAAGGAACAGTCTGACTATATACTCGGCCTGCACCCAAGTATGTAAGTACCCACTCAACGGTGACAGACATCTCACTGGGCGTGCCCAGTGCTAATGCAAAGCTGCTACGGATAATTTGTATGTACATTTAGATGAAAATTGGTAATACGTACCAGTGCACATGCTTTTTGTGTTGTAATGAGAAAGCAACCATTCACTATAGTTGATCATATTACACTAAGGCTAAGAATAGAATTGTACCTTCGGTACTGTGACAATATTTGGGGTTTTCAGCTCAAACAGCTGCATCGGGTTTTGTTTTCCAAAGAGAAACTGGGTTGTTCATGCACTCAAGTCTCCCTTGAGATTTGTTTCAAGGACTGAATAACAGGTTGAACGTGGTCTGGCTATAAATTAGGGACAACTCCTGGGATTTTGCTTGGCCAATCCCTGACAGAGTTTCAAGATGTACTCGACCTCTTCTAAACTTACTTGAAGTGTAATGCCAAGTCCGTGGCCAGTATAGCGTGCTTCAAGACGTTCATGACCTCACTGTATTGCTCGGCCGGCATATTGGCGAAGATGTTGTGACCCTTAAAAATGAGGACACAATGACAGGTTTGAGGTACACGTACGTGGTTTGCAGTGACACCATGTAGCATTAACTGTCTCTTTTGTGAGCACGCGTGGCTCCGAAAGGAGCCGACCTACTCAATGTTTTGGACAGTGTGCTCTGTGCAAACCTTCAGATCTTCAATGACAGACTCACGGATGTAGGAACCGGGAGAGCCGGGGGGGCCCAGTGACCCACTGAAAATATGGTGAGGGACCCGTGCCCCCTTAAAATGTTGTGTAATTTGCATTCTCAGAAGGGAAGTCTTAGAGTGGATGATTATTTGTAGCAGTGTATGATAATTTTACTTAGATCACACTGCGAAGTGCAAATTTGAATATTCACTTTCAATCAGGATCTTACAGTTCCGGTCTCTCCCTTGCCCAATAACAATGATGAGCCCCATCTCGCGCAGTACGCAAGCGAGCCGCATCGCAGGCTGTGTTGATGTCACTTGAAATTCTTATTAGTGGCCTGAAAATGGTCACTGCTGCATTGAGACTGATGCTACATGAATGGGTGAAGTGAGCGGATCTGAAATGAAGCCTTCATTTTTTTTCTCTTTCTGACCTGTTGATCTATCAATAATTCCTCGGTGGTGGGTAACAAGAGGTCAGCCCAGTTTTTTCATTGTTCAATGATGAGAGAAAGGGGGCATTGATGCACAGATGTCATTTTTCATTCTCATTATCAATCGCCATCCCGCTACAAGAAAGTCACCGTGTTTACTTGACACATTCTTCCCCCGCAACTGATAGCAGAGTGCTGACAACGAATCGTAAGTGGGAAAAGCTTTCTCATTATCATTAGGAATTCCCTGCTATGGGTTGTCCAAAACCGGCATACACGGAAAGGAATTCGTGGGGATGAAGTACCAGTACCTGACTACTGAGAATCATGACTGTGTGGTTGAAGTGATGATACTCCATGGTAGCCTTGGAACCATACAGCTGAGACAAGGGTGACTGACTCCTAGAAATAGTACACAGGAAAGAGAACTCAGCGAGTAACGAAACTGAAAGAATGGGCATTCAGGTGACAAACGGAAAACAGTTCACTAAAGAAAATTTCTGGAAAAAGTGCATTATCAAATCCAAAAAAATGTACTACAAAACGAAAAGTATCGTGAAAAGCTGATCACAAATTTAAAATTTGTAAAAAAGGAAAGAGTAACAAAACATCCAGGTTGAGCGGGGGCAAGAGAGCTACTGTAGGCAAGGGATCCAGAAACAAAGGAAATGGACCGGAGCCTGTACTTTTGTTGGAAAGCATTGTTGGTGCCTCGGTGGTCCAAGTCATGGCACAGGCAGCCGACCAACAGGGACAGCTGTTCTGGTTCAGTCAGGTAGTGGACAACGCTGGTGTTCTGCAAGAGATGAGAAAAATGGTGAGCTACAGGCCAAGGGCGGCAAACGCATGAGAGGAGGTGGCAGCATTCAGTATGGTTTGAGGTAAATGTGACCCAGGTTTGTGTTGACAATATGAGGCAGTTTTCAAAAGCTAGTCTTTGTCAATGTAAGAACTTCGGCTCAGATATCAACCATATACATATCTGTAGCATTAACACTAGATGAAAATACTTAAATCTGTAGGCAAAACAGAATTTTATTTTGAGAGCTACAAATCCCATGTCAGGGGGGTAAACCGGACAAAGCTGGAAACAGAGATGAATTCTAGATATTGGAAATCTCGCGAGATGAAGAGCTTGCATTTATTTTCAGCAAATGATTCTAACTTTTATCCCCCTAACAGAATTCAAGGGCCCTTGCATTTTATCAGGTGTTTTTCAAAGCCCTCATTGCAAGTGAACGATACCCTCTGTTTTGAATTCAGCATTAACAGTAGGTGGACTGCAGATTTCTAGGCTGCATGGACTCTATCTCGTCCCTACAGACATGACGGTATTATTATTATCGAGAAAATCAGAAGTGTTTCGCAGTCGTAAGTTACTTTCCCCCAAAGGTGTTGAGGAAAACGTTGCCCCAGGACACTGGATTTTGTCTGACCATCAAGCTAGCTCTCTCCAGAATGTGCAGTCCGATTAACAACACAGAAGAAAACGGGGAGAGGGTGGCAGTAGGGAGTAGCGGTTGTGCTGGGGACGAGTACTGAGGAATGATGAGGGATCATAACAGGGTGAACGGAAGATGCTCTGGGATACTGTCGTGTCATCGGGCACGGCATACCAAATTTTCTCACCTGCAGTACGGCAAACATTGCTTGCTGAACGTTAAAGGCGTGTCTGAAGTTGTGGTAGGCAACGGGGCGATAATTCTTCCTGACTGTCAGCAGAAACCGAGTCATGGCCTGAATAAATTGAACCAAAAAAATCTCATCAATGATGGTACTCGTAAGCAACAAACTCCATAACCTTTGACCCCCCCAACTAATTACCTCAACCAGTTTTTTTGTCTTGCAAGCCCACAACATTAAAGGAAGGTTCAAAAGAGAGAGAAGCTCAATAGGGAGCATAACAACCGGGAACATAAGATTCAAAGTGATTCCACCTGTGCATTGTGTATACAAACAACATGCATGTACACATTCCCTTCTTTGATATGCACCATCACTGCATCGCATCACATCGTATACACGAGCAATCACTTTCATCCTCTCTGGATCTTTCAATTGAATCCACAAAATTGCCAGCTGTCCGCAGCAACACAGGATCTTGTATAACATTTCCAATGGAGTGCGCTTAATTTAAACTTGGGCCCCAGCTCTCTTCCATGAACAAATGACCTTCTACCGGGTGCTTGTCCTAGTTCCATACCTTGCGTTCACCTTAACCAAGCCCTTTAAAGTGTGGCTGCAATGACTTTTTCTTAGATACATTTTTCTTCAACTGTGCATTCTTCTTCAATGTATGGAAAACTCTTTTACATTCCTATTTGGTTGAATGCATTGAAACGTGCACGTTTAAAAACAATTAAAATTTTCCATGATTTCTTGGACAACTGAGGGCGCTTTTGTTGTGAAGTCATCTGGGGAAGACATGGTTCAGAGCACACTGTAGGTGTTTCTGTTCAACATTGTGAACCCAGAGTTTACATAATGAAAACATATCTGAGAGAGGGATTGATGCCTGCTTATTGCTATTCACACAATGAATCAGGCAAAGAAAAAAAACTCTACAAAAATGCAGGACTTTTTTGTACAAACAATGTAACATTGAGGCTTTGGATCTGAGATGATGTCACAGTTTTGCTCATGAATATGGAAATTCATTAGCATAAAATCAAAAAGGCAGTAAAATACCCTTTGAAATATTGAAACGACAGTTGAATATAAGGTTAGCTAAGACACAAAGGTGCATTTTTAAGGAATATATTAAAACCAATTGATTGTAGCTACCAGTACTGGTATATACATGTACATGTATCCTTCAACACAATGATAATAAACAATTAACCATCAAATAGCCTGTGTGTAACAACTGAGCAACTCCCTGGCATGCCAATTTCAGTGACTAGTATCACTTACACAGAGTACTTACTGTATCTCTAACACACCACACTATTACAGTAACTTCATCCTTTGTTTACAGTTAGTCCAAACCTAATTCACAGACAAATTTGTGAATACATGTACATGTTCAATCTCAATCAACGAAACTTTCCCAAACCAAATTTCACTGAATGCCGACGCTAACCAGGAAGCAGGCCCAGTATCAACTTTCACCGGCAGCCAGCTACATGTATCTCCTCTCCTTTTTTTCCCAAGACAAAGTCACACAGCTAATCCTAACGTCCATTACCCGTTTTCTGTCGCACTTATTTGTTGGGTAAAACTTTGATTGTTTAATTTGCAGTCAATCTAAGCACCCATGGCCGGCGGGCTGTTAAACACAATACTCTGAATGAATACCATTTTCCCTGCAATTCCAAACGTCCATCAGTTTTTCTGAGGTTGATCCTTACCAGAGGGTCAATCTTGAATTTCTGCAACAGCCCAAGGTCCATGTACAGTCTCAGGGATGCTTTAACCATCTCGTCCGTGTCCAATTTGAAGTCATCAAAATCGAATCTCGTCATTCCAAGGGCTTGGATCTGCGGCAGCCGTGAAATCTGTAGAGTAAAAAGAAAAACAAGGGAGGGAGAAAGAGATAATTAAAAAAAAAAATCCCATGTACAAAATCAAGAATACACGGTGCTTGATTGCAGATCTGTCAATCTGTAACATCCTTGGGTGGTGATCGACTCTCCGGGATGACCCTATGATATTTGTTAACAAGGTGATCTCATTATGAGATACGGTGTACTACCGTAAGAAAAGGGCAAAACGAGAGAGACAGAATTGTACAGCGTGCACCACATGAAGATTACTGGGCTCCAAATCAAATACACAAGACACGCTGCCCGCCGTGATTAAAGACCCATAATCCTATCGGGTTATCAAGGGAATTTGGCTTGGAGGGGTGGTCGGCAGACGTGCAGTATTTCTCATGATGGTCTTCGATTTCGAAAGACAAATGATCCAGGTGGGCGGACCATTACATCAAGAGATAGCTAGGGCCAAGGGGCATTGAGCTAGGAAGTGACGCCAAATCATGGCTCTTCATCATGGCTCCAAAAAGCCCAAGCCATATTGCCATTTCTTACATCTTCTTAAATCTCTTCTGTTTTTTCTACTTTTTTCGATTTTGGTTTTTCTTGGAAAATCTTGTGTTATTAGTTTGGAGGGCACACAATAGAGCACCCCCCCCCAAAAGTGCCAACTTTCTTTTCTGTACATCTTTTCCTTTCTTAACTTCCTTCTCCAAGGGGGCAGGTGGACGGAGGAGCTGGATTAACTACACGTACATGTACAAGACCATGTACCAGTAGGCTAGCCATCTTATCTACTCAAGTAACACTCACCAGGGCCTCCTGATTTCATCTGTACATCTTTATTAGGGACTCCAAAACTCACGCCGCCTGTGCCGGCTTGCAGCAGTTCATGAACTGCTCAGTTTCCAATTTCCCTACACGTGGGCACTGCTAATTTACCGGTACATGCAGAAAGCCTGTGACTCCTGCAAGTGAAGCGCACTCGCGACATGGAAGAGCATGGCTGCCATGCAAACAACCTGAACAACAAGACGTGATGACTTTCGACACTGCATAATTAAAACCTTAAATCAGTGAGAGTGCCAATCAAATCATTTGTAATTAACTCCCGGGTACAGCGGTCTCCCCGGAGTGTGACAATTACCAAAGGCGGCAAGCCACGCACTAAGCATCTAAACAGAAAGTGACATTTAATCAATGTTCCAATAACAGAAGACAGGTGCCCATAAGCGGCAGGGACGAAGGGAAATGTCACTGAAACAACAGTCTGGAAGGATGATTACACCCTGTGAAAAAACAAACCCCGGTAAGTATTCATCCCGATTCCAGTCGGCTGTCACCTTCGTTTCCCAAATCTCAAGTACATGTACGCCAGACACCAAAAGACATGGATCCTTCAATCTGAAGGCAGGGTATGGTGTGTAGGTACCGGTAGTGATGAATATGCAGTTGTAATGGTACATGAATGTACAGCAGATGTACATGTAGGTGCGATTGGGGTCGTTCCTTCAATTTGCGGTCAAATTGTTTTCCTGCCCTGTAAGATTTGGTGTACGAGTTTGTAAGTTTAGAACAGATTCTTTCAATTCCATGAGTGATTAAGTATCGCAAATTACATGTACCTTCTGAACAACTAAAAAAAAAAACAGTTTCAAGTCGATTTCAATACTGGTGACATAAGGGCTTTGCACTGCACACTCACTGAAAACTTTACCAAGGAGGACAGACACACAAAGGGAACAAAGGGTGCTTCCCTGTCCTCGGTAGTCAGTCCTTTGTCCTCAGTGGTACAGTGCTAGCACTTGTGAGAGTGTTACACGTTGAACTGGTGCGAGATACGGGAGGGAAACACAATGCCTTCATTCTCTTCAGTGTCGCAGGCGTGTCGCTTGCTCAAATGGCGCACATGGTAATTGCACCTTTTGGGCAGAGTTATCCATCTTGCGCCTTCGGCGCTATACGATCTTTGCTTTTGAGTTCAGAAAAGAATGAACAAGTGCAGAATGTACCAGTACCCGGTAGCTTGTGGGGAGAATCATTTACTTGAAAAATGCATCTTCCACGAACATGCCTGCAGAAGATCATGAATATAGTTGAGTTGGGCGGTATTGAGAATACACTTGGATGCACCACCTATCTAATTATGTTCACACGTATTTGGTTTCGCTGTAGTACATGGGAGTACAGTAGTTTTTGTCTGAAAATGCACTAACATGCAAGGATGTTCACATGCATGAGCTTCGGTGCTCAGGTAGGTGGTGAGGCATGTGGCGTTCACTCATTGGCCTAGCCAGTGTCCAATCCAGACCATCACAAGACCTATCACAGGTCCACACACAAGACAACGCCACAAGATCAATCATCATGAGACTAGTCACAAACAACGGGGTGAGCAATGACAAAGGAATGCTTTTGTTGCAGTTCAGTTGAACAGTTTGTGACTCAAATTCAGACCGGCGGTCTCGTGATCTCGTGGGGTCGTGTGATACGGTCTTAAGAGCTAGGTCTAGACTTCAACCATGGGCCTCAACCTCTCTCTTCATAGCCAGTGAGGCCAACCTGTGCACAGAGCCTGTACCCATTGTGATTGAGACATCCACACAAAACCAGGAAAGTAATTTACGCATCTTATAGCTTATAGTTTCCGCAATGGTTATAACGATTGTAGACAGCCTGAAAGATTTTAAAGTGCCAACAGTGAGAGACAGTCAATTTGCCAAGTTTTATGCACACAGGGTGGACAAACCGAGCACGCACAAACGCTCAGTTAATGGTAAGCAGGGTAAGCCAAGGGCTTGTTATTCTACCAGCAATATCTGTCTGACATGTGCTATTTGATGGGGCAAATTCTAAGAGAAAGATTGGACTGTGCATATACCAGTTGCTTTCTCAGTGACAGGGATGCGTCCCGTCTCAGATTTTGGTCATGCCATGGTCCTTCAGCGTCATGCCTGAGATAAATGTATCTTAAATACACATTGATACAAATGACTTCTCCAAACCACACTATCCCCAGTGGTAACTAACTTGGGATAACTGTTTACAGCATCCATGCCCCCTCTATCAACACAGGTAATTCTGAAAGGAAAATGCAGCACACATCCACGCATCACCTGGCATACATGTAAGCCAGGGTATTCCATTACAACCCTACCGGTCATCCATGACAGGTGTCCCCACAGTGATTGAATGAGCCAAAAATCGGCCTGCAGAGTTCATCACTCAACACTTCATCTAATAGACGCTGGCCTGGTACCATAGTATGGGACCTTTATCCACATTCAATTGATGTTGACCTACTGTAGCAGATGTTCCAAGGAGGCAAACTTGTCTTCACCGCTCGCAACATGTGCCATCCACATGCAGGCATTAGAAGGTGAAGTCCTGGTAAATAACATCCTCAGAGAGTTGGGTTCAACAAACTACTCATATTTGCTTTGTTGGGGGACTTCCCAGGAATAACATATATGGTGAATTGGGGAAACTTTTCAAGTTTGAATTCTGGGATTCACACACAAGATAATCCAAGCAATAATACAGTATTATAAGATTTGAACGGGTTTTAGAGCACATTTTCCCAGAGAAAGACAAAGGTGCATATTTTGTCCATTTAACAAACATCTGAAACTTGTAGCTGTAATTAACACGTACTTATAAAAGTTTCTCAGTGTTTTACATGTCGAAGTTAACAGGATCACTATTCTAAAATGTTACTCATTCACTGTTGATCATTCCGAGAATCAAATCAAGATGCATGACAAAGGCTTTTCCTTTCTGACGCGTTCTCACTTCGGCTACATCCTGTTAATTTCTAACTGCATATATAAGCCGTGTCTCATGGATAGCTTGACAGTACTTACTCTACATGCACTTTACTCTACTGTATCCTACTCTACTCCACTAGCAATTCATCCCAACCCTCTCAGTCATGCTTGTTGAATCAAGTCACGGTGAAAACACACTGCTAAGATTTGTGTTCCGACAGTTTTCACAACTACCGGTAGTACATGTAGCTGTCATTCCATCCTATAAACCATGTACTTACAACTACAGTGTACATGTATGCATACATGTACAGTATACTCCTGGTACATACTGTAACATGCAAAACCCTACTAGACAAAGATGTCATCATTTTGTCATCAAAATCAGTCATCTTCCAAAAGTGGCATCAAAGGCATCAAGAAGGCAGCATTTGGAACCCCCCCCCCCAAAAAAAAACAATTAGGATTTGATAGTCCGGCATGTCATATCAACCCCAAATGAGGCATCAGTTGTGGAAAAATAAGACATCAAAGAGGCTGCACTATAGTATGATGCCCAATCCTAAGAGTCATCAGAATCTGAAGAAGCTCATGGCATTAGGATCATTGATGCATCAAAACGTTGATGCCAAGTACCAGTACCATGTACGGTGGGTACTGCACTTGTAAATAACTCTGGGCATGCTACTGACATTTAACTGTATGGTAGCTCTTAGAACTGCGCATGTATGCTATGCCACAATTATACCCAGCAAGATGGGACGGAGGGGTACCCCCCCACATATCCAATCCCTATACACATCCTAGAGTATTGTTACCTAACACATCCCCCCCCCCCTAGATGTCTGTAAAGAATTCCCGAGATTCCTGTCAAAGGTGGGGGGTACTCTCCATCCCATATCTTGCTTCATATAGCCGCAATTGTCACACATTTTGTATCCAGTATTTCAACGTTCAAAAAGTTAGAGCTCAGCCAACAATTATACAGGCAGACACTGACACCCTACATTTGGGCCATGCAGATGCCCTTTTTGTTTCCTTCAATCGCTCTGTGCTACCAACATCCGAGCTGTGTGACGTAAAGAGCCAGCTGAAAGAGCACAAAACATCCACCGAATCATGGGCATGGGCGTGGCTCCTGGTCATTTGCATGATCGACACGTACGTTAATACACAACTGTGAGTCAACAGATGATCGTCAACCTTGTCATTTTATACCTCACAAGCCCATTTCGCACACACCCACGATCCTCTTCGATGGCACTATATACACTTGCTAAAGTCCAGTTCAGTGAACCCTGATGAAGATGGGCTGATGTCGGCTGGAGACGTGTTTGCCAGCGACGATAACAACTCGTATGAGTCCCATGCTCCTCGGCTCATGATGCGCCATGTTTGCTCTCGGCTCAAAGGGCTTTGTGGAGGATCATATAGCCAATTTCAGAGGGAGTATATTGACAAGATAACTGATGGAGTTTGATTTTTTCTTTCTATGACCAACATGTGCTCAACTGCATTGGAGGTACTGGCACAATGTACATGAACTTCTCATTTCTGGATTTGTCATTAGAAAAGTGTCTGATCCAATTCAAAATTTTCTCAGGACAATTTGACACGCAGCACTGCGAGGGTGAATTTCCAGGATGGCTCTGGGACAATACCGGTATGAACGTAAAGCTGCACTGAAGACAGTTTTAAATCACTTGAGAAAAAAACTCTTTTATCCCCAAGCCTCCAACACAGTTATAAAGAAGCCTTTCATCTACACTTCAAAATTTGGACTAAGGAGGCACACCTACGGTTCATATATCTATATTCCCCTAAAATAACCTAAAAGCAACAAGAGCGAGCTCCAAAATTTCTTACAATGAGAGGGATGAAGAAAATGACACGTACGTGTAATTCATCTGAAATATTTGTATAAACTTGACCATGGTAATTACGTACAAATGTACACTGTATGCATCCCAAATGGACCACCCTTGTGAATTAAGATATTTAATCATTTCTGCATCAGCTACGGTTCAAATCTTGCAGAAAATTACAGGAATGGTACATGATTAAATGTATCTGCCAATCCACTCCCAGCAAAGATTAAAATAAAAAGATCCAAACACTTGAAAGAGAGGGGGTTTAATTTTGACGGAGTCAAAATTGCCTGTCCAAAATTGTTTTTGCCAACACATACATGTATCTACCAGACAGGTGGCTTGGTGACATACAGGAAAGGAAGCTCAACTTTACATCATCAGCAACGTCCGAGAGCACGAGCATTTCTTGTCAGCCATTTTAATTTCCTCAAATTTCTCCCGCGAATTGCAACTCCTTTCGTCCTGGAGCGGTTTGGGAGCTGCCGATGTCGTCACTTTGCTCGTCACTGGCGAGGCCTACAGAAGATCCGGGTCAATCAAATCACATCCCGGATGGGATATTTAACTCTTCCGATGTTATTTTCCTGGTAATGGGTTGTTGAAATGTAATGAAGTGGCATTTCTGGGTCTGGTATGAAACCAGACAAAACTGAAGGTACAAAATAAAGAATTTGGCAATCAGAGAAGAGTGGAAACAGTACTGAGTAAGGAAGACATCAAATGTGTTTTTTAATTGTGTGGATCTGAAAACACATTTCTACAGATACAGTTCAAAAACATTGTTAAAATATTTCATTTCGGTTATTATGCAAGCAGTAAGGAGCACGTACATACATGTGTAAGTGAAGAGTTGCAGAAACAGCAAAATAAATTTTGCATTTAGAGAAGTTCAACTGAAAAAGATGCTCAGCCCAGTCATTTCTGCACAAATGGGGACTGTCTATTGCCTTGTATCTTGAGACTTCTTGAAAGTTATAATTCAACAGCAATATGAAATTGTTGAGCGACAAATTGATCATGTCCAATGGATTTGCAGAGTTGTAGGAATGACTTTTATCTGCATTTACATCTGAACTCTTCATCAGGTGTTCAACTTATTACTCAACGAAGATCAGACTTTCCAGATTTTCCAGATTCTCCAGAAAAGCTGAAGTGGATTTTGTATGGGAAAATGCTCTGTGCAAGGACCTGTTTGTTCCCATAGTCTGCGTCAATCGCTTTTCGAAAAGGGGGGGGGCATAACCTTGATCAGAATTAATGAGAATTAGGACAAAGCCCTAATGGCATGGGGTCAGAAATGGTGCCAGCTACAGAAAATTGGGGATTCCATTTCCAAATTTTGGATTTGTAGATGCTCTGTGGTGCAATCTGAGCCTTCTGACCTACCTGTACCTTTGTAACTCCCCCTGCTTTATAAAAATAGGGTCCAGAAAAAAAGTGCGTGTGGAGGAAGGATAAATGACATGATTTCCCCCATCCCCAAACTTAAAACAGTGGGGTACATGCCTCCTCCCCCGTATCCCAACAACTAAAGTCCATGTATATTCTGTATCCATTGAATCAAAGGAATAAAGACCTTCTACCTTTAAGTCCTCCACCTCCCGGGAGGTACTGCAGGCGTGGTAAGACAGGACCTCCAGTGCCACTTTTTGCCTGGCCATGGCCTTGGCTATCTCGTTGTACATCAGTGTGTTGTTGATTCCCAGACCGCAGAATATGGTGAAGGCCTGGTGCAAACAGGAGTGAACAGGGTAAACAAATCAGATTACATCTCGTCAATGTGAATGAAGAAACATGGATGGGTGCGGCTAGGATTTGAGCTGGTGGCATCTGGAACATGATACGAGTGCTCTACCATCTGATGACAGGTGATGCATCTGTCTAAAATGGGCATTGTGGCTAGTAATACGGCTATTCTATGTGACACGTAAAAGGCAAAAGCCAGGGGTGAGACTGAAGGAAAATGAGGAATCCACGAAATCATCGTAAGAGATTTAGAGGGCTGCACAGCAGTGAAGGGCCTATGGTATACATTGTACATTAATACAGGAATAAATATGTGCTTGGCTGGTCTTAAATGTGCGACCAGCTCAGGAGAATGGATGCAACTCATCGGCGTTCAGTCTCATACGTTACATGTGGTTTAAGACCAGCCAAGCACATGTTCATTCTCATTTATAAACACCTTTTTAGTCAGAGAATCAAAAGAAGTCAATACATATGTATGATGGATTTCTAGAATTGGATGTCTAGATGGATTGTTCTAGAATTTTACTTTCATTTCCCTGAAAACCCCTGTCCATTTTATTCAACATTCCTTGTGCAAATCGTCCAATTGGTCCATGCACATAGACTCTTGACCAATCAGAATCGATGAAACTGTCTTGTATCCAGGTGCCAGTGTGTGAGTTATGCAGCCTGCATTATCAAATGTTAATACACATTCAAGTTGCAGTTGTTGACTAGGAAAGACTGTCTGAGGTATTTATGAATGTTTATGTGAAGGGCGTTCCTTAAAATTCCCATTCCTTGTGTTCTATATAAACTTTTATATAAAAACACCTTCAGTGATTGTTTGAAAATCCTGATATCTGGTACAATCCTGATAAAAATCACCCCTGAAGACCGTAGGCCACAGCCACAAGATACCTGGCCGATTGGGACATAACCACATCGGCACAGCTAGTGAATACTTTCGCTTTATTCGGTTTTCAAAAGAGTTCTGAAAACGGTCAGTCGGACGGACGCATGCAGATCAGAAAGTGAGCGCCAAATTAATTGTGCCTCAGCCGGAGCGGCAATCAATCTTCTTGCTGAGTCAGAAAGGTGTGAAATAAAACACGGAACGGCAGAGTAGGATTCCAGCTTTTTTTTATTGTCGGCTTCTTTTATTTTGAATAGAAGGAAGAACAGGGTATGCTCCATATGTACCGGTACATGTACGAGCCCCTTGGTACATGCTTATTATTTCTGCAAATTCATGTCCAATTTTATCACCACGGACTCATTTCCGCACTGATTCAAAGTACACGTTATCAGACAACACACAACCTTCTCGGTAGTCTGTATTTGTTAGTTGTTAGGGGGTTCCTAGGATATTGAGGTCATCACTACGTTGTGGAGGCAGTGGTAAGGGACCGAGGAGATTATGCCAGCATGTAAACGGATAAAAGGATCTCATAAGTAATGAACCACCAAGACTAGCCAGGAAATTCTCCCCTCTGCCCGAGAATGAATACCCAAACATCTAGCCTTGCACATTCAGAGATACCCTATCAATAAAGACCTGAAAGACCAAAATTACATACATGTACGTACAGTACATGTACATGTATGTTTGCATCCCCCCCAATATTACTGAAGTGGTCGAACATCTTGGAAAATAAACACAGATACTGGAATGGTGAGATCGGCAATTTTACCTCCTCCAGAAATTGCCAGAAAATAGCTTGTTTTCATCTAACATACTTTTGCAAGTAACTGTCTCTGGCAACACACTTTAAATTGTTTGTCTCAACAAAAAGTGAGAAGTGGCCTGACGTTAACATCACCGGTAGATCACACTGTCAACAAACGCCATCTCGGATGAAGTCTCTGAAGACTCCATCATCCCCATCTAAGCAGACGGCACGGCTGCATCCTACTGTTCCTAGGGGAGGCAAGAAACTTAGTCTGAGCCTCAATCTCATTACACAACTCCCCCAGCCCTGGAGGATGCGTCTATACCGGGTATTGATCCTTCTCCAAATAGCCGCTACCTGGACAACAGGTTGCTTCGGGATATTAAGGATAGTGGGAGGGGGGAGGTCGGAGGTACTTATATGATCAGGATCCATATCAACGCCGAGTCTCATCTTCCATACCTTGGTGGGTCAGCTTTCACTGTCCACTCGGCATCCAGGTCAAGTTATAAGATCATAAAGGACAAAAACATCGAAATCAATTTTTAAAAAAAAGAAAAGAAAGTTTGGAGACAGTTGGGTTTGTCAGCCCCCTCCCAAGTTTTAAGGCTTTACCTCCAAAATTTTGTTTTTTGGCCAACTCTGACTGTCGGGACCTCCACTCTCTTCTCTCAAATTACCTCAACCCAGGAAAGACTTTTTAGAATGTAACATTTAAGACTCCTCAAAGTAAAACTACTGGCTGACCTACAGACTTGGTTTAATGTTTTCCAATTACCGGAGCTACCAAAGCATGGGAGGTAAACTTGAAGGAAAAACAAGAATTTTCAAATCCCTAAATAAGGAGACAAGTTATTAACCATGACAAGTTAATGCATTCCGTTCTGCTGCCTGGAGGTTCTCATTGCCCACTACATGTACACGATAGTCCGGTCATGACCTTCCTCGCGTTACACGTACTATTAATGGAACAGAGCAAACATGTTGTTAGTCATTTCACTTGTCACCCTCGGCTGAAAAGCCTGACACCTTCGGGCCAGTTATGAGGGTTAGCAGGTGTGAGCCGGAGGGGCCTACACGGGGAGACCGCTCTCCTCAAGCTGCCATGCAGGTGCTGCTTAAAGCCCGCGGAGGCCACCGGATAAAAATCGCGGTTGATACATGTACATGCTTAATGAGCCAAGAGGGGGAAAAAATAACTTGCACAATTCAGCGGGATCTACTGATGTCAAACACTTCTCTACGGATAGATTACCGTAAGTGAGCATGAAGCCTGTGTGAGCTGGGTTTGAAAGATGCCGGGAGAAACATTGCACACGATCAGGATTAACACATTATTTCATGTGCAAGCAGTGTACTAGATCATTCCACAGGTATCGATACAATGTAAACCAGCCCCAGTATCGACTGCTATCCAATATGGAGAAATGATGCAAAGCTTCACAGTCATTTGCACTCTAAAGGCCAGTTCATACTTGGTGAGGAAGCAAACACAATTGCGAATTTGTGACATGAGATCAAATGTTCGCATTGCAAATATGCACAAGTTGAATGCATTTCAACTCCAACCAACTTGTGCTGCAAATCTTTGGCGATGTCGTAGTTACGTTGATTTGCACATTGAAAAGCTCTTGTATGAACTGGCCTTAAGGGGGAGCAAATATTTGGGAGATTTTTCTTGAATAAAAAATTGCTACAGCAAGCACTTTAAAACCAATTAATACTATCAACTGCAATGTTTTAAAACTGTACCAGTTTTGGGAGGAAATTACAACTCGTGTATACAGAAAAATTTATCTACAATGTACAACTCATCTAACAACTAGGTCACACCACCGCAGAGGTCCACATCGGCATTCAAAATGATAAACAACGCAGGAAAACAGCTCCAAAACTCATCTCTTGAATGGCAGTAAGCACAAGCATCACTTCAATGCACTGTACAGATTATGCTAGAAACAGGTCCAACATGCCTGAGGCACTGACATACACATCCCCCCCTCCTTATCAAGTCAACCTGAATGCCGGCCACATTTATCAAAAACCCATTACCCAGCGAAGCCAATAATTAGTGAAACGCATCCAATCTCATGAATGCAGGCCCACGCCGCGGCAGCTTCTTAAAAAGGGGGGGGGTTGTCTCCTAGACAAATGGACGTGCACAACATGCAAAATCAAACGGGGGGGGGAGAGACTGCATCTGAGGTGGTTGGATTTACCCAAAAGAAATGGGGAATTCTCATGGGAAGTCACGGCCAGGACACAAGTACCATTTGGAAGTTTGCCTGCGTCTCAGCATCGACCATGTTTGCACAAGGGGGGAGGGGGAGGGCGATAAGGGGAACTATTTTTTTTTCCCAATCACATTCACGAATCGGACTCATTAAAAAGCCGGAAATTTTAATCACTGTGCTGCAATGACATGTATTTCTGACTTGTGTAGAATGCTAATTGTCCTCGCCGATGCCAGTGCATGCTCTGAGAAAAGAAACAATAAAATCTCATGCGTGATTCAAACCAATTTACACAATTACTGGTATATGTACATGTTAATCTCCCTCCAAAATGTCCCAAATAATGAGGCGGAAGGCAAATATGGAACTAAGTTTAATTTAACTTAATTTGTAAATTATGCAAAATATCAAGCAAGATACCGGTACAAACACCAACTTGATTCCAAATGAGATACAATGTACCATACGTACTATTTGATAGGCATTCACCGTGTTCAGGGAGCAGGTTCTTTTGTTAGGGAAATCTGAACCGACTTGTGGGGACATTTCTGAGTCCCCACACTGTTTTTGGTCCTCAGAAAACATGAAAATGTCGAATGTATGTCCCAACTACTACGGAAGATCTGTTGCGTACATGTACACAAAAGTTGCTAGCAAACTTGACGTGCTCAGCAGCAACTAGCTGAAAACCAGTCAACAACAATACGCAATGCAGGGAATTTTGACCAGTACGTTTTTTGTGTGTGTTCATGTGTTCTCCGAGCTTACAGATTTTAATCGCGCTGAGTTTTATGAAACGGGTGTCGGGCATCTCAGGAATAAAATGAACTTAAGGGCCAGTGGGTGCTGTGAACCACATCTTCTGAAAACAGGATCATCACGGTAGCTGACGTGCAGATGCCAACTTTGCATGCTAGTCCCCTGAACAGTCTTAAGCTGGATACCATTTCTGCCTGACGCATTATTCTCCGCCCCTCCCCCAACCCTTTTTTTGTTTACTGCAGTACGAGTACGATACCTTGGTCTGGAGATCCAAGAGTTAAGGCTTCATTCATCGATATCACTTGAAAATGGGAGGGATATTGGAGTGGG